GTGTGCGTGTGTGTGTGTGTGTGTGTGCGTGTGTGTGTGTATGTGTTCTGTATATATACACCTGCCCCCCCCCCCCCCCTCTCTCTCCCAGACTAGATACTGTAGTGGGTCCCCCTCCGAGGCCCTTCAGCAGCCGCGCCAAGACCGTTTCCTCTCCCTCCCTGCATTTATATTACAGCCAGGCCCGGAGGAAACAGTCTGCACCGGGGTTAGAGCCACCCCGTCCTGATCCCCCCCGTCCCCCCGTCCTGGTCCCCCCGCTAACATAACCAACACTTTGACGATGTCACACCTGGGTCAAGCAGCCATGCATTCACATGTGTTTGGCATCAATATGAAAATTCAGTGCGTCTTTATTTAGTTTAGCTTTAGACGCAGTCTGGGCCGTAGTGCTCGAGTCTAGTCTGGGTCTCATATATATCACCATGCCATCATTTAAGAATGAATATGCTAATTATGAGAAAAACTTTACAAAACTGGCTGCTTGACCCAGATCTGTCTGTGGAGGTCACCAAGGAGCTCCAGAAACGGACTATGGACACAGTTTAACTGAAGAATCTCAGGTTTAAATGAACCTGGTGGTCTGAGCCTCAATGATACACAGGAAGAAAACAAGCATTGGCCCAAAGGTGTTCTCTCAGCCAACGAAGTGGTCCTTTATCACATTACATTTTAATTGAGTAGTATTTAGTAACACTTAACTTATTTACGTCGCACTGTGAACTGTGATAGTCCTGATTTGGGCTCCTTGAGGACCTCATCCAACTGGAACGTGTTGTCATCTAACATGCTGTACTTGACTGTAGACGGGAAACGAGCTCCTCAGTGCTACGTGGAGAAGATTTTGTCTTCATGTAAAAGCCCCAAATCCAGAATCTATTGAAACTCATTAGATGCATAAATAATCATTCATTCAAAATCCAGCTTTGCTTCAGTCTCCGCTTCCTTTTTGCAGCTTCAAACCACATTTAGAAGCTTTCAGTTCTTGTATCAAAAGTCTTAAAATCACTTAATTTGATAAAAGTAAAGCTGGGCCATATTAGTCCAGCAGGAGGCGCTACAGTGCGGTTATGGATTGGGGCTCTTAACATGTCCAAACTTCAAAGAAAGTTAGTTTAGTTAGTTGTTGTTGTGAATGAATAGAAGTGCTGGAGGTCAGTCGAGCTCCTGCTGGATAACATAGTGCTTGTTTAGAGGCTGTAGATACACACAGAGTGAACGTTGACTGCTTCTCTTAGCGTTGCTACTGCACATCCATTATATCTCTCCTCTTCATCAATAGTATATTTTCTCAGGTTTAGTGAGACCTTAATGTGGCCAACATCACGATGCTCTCATTAAATGATTATTATTGGTAAACATGGCTCTGTGGGGATCTGTTTCATCATGTCGGCCACTGCTGAATGTTCAGCTCTTTATTTAAAAGCAGAAGTGACTTTCTTGACCTTGGGTTATGTAAGTTAAACAATCTTTAAAGCTAGGCTAGGTACTCTGAAGAAACTAGCAAGAGTACGCTAGATCTTCAAAATCATCTAACCTAAAATAACAGCACCGTTTTGCCAACTCTTCTCCAATGAAAGTAGCTAACATCGTTAGCGACAGAAGTCGCCAACTATTGAACACTGACAGTCCGTCTCCTCAGGTTTCCCTCCAAAGAGACTCGTGATGAACGTAAACAACCAACATGGCTGCTGTTAGTGCTCACAGCTGTTAAGATGGAACATTTCTGCTGAATGAAATGATTGGACGGGCTTATTACAGTCCTGTGACAGCCGGCGACAGCAGATTATTTTCTTATTTTTTGTCAGAGCATTTGACTCATTGATTGCTGTCAGGATGTAAAGAGACTTTCAACAAAAATATATTTAAAAGAAGTTTTTTGAAGTAGATTACCAACCCTACCTTTTAAAGGCACGGTGTTTAAATATTCATAAGTATGTTTTCATGAGTGTATAATCACCTGAAACTAAGAATCGCTGTGTTGTCGTTAGCTTATGATGAGCCCTTCATATCTACATAGGGAGCAGGTCCTCTTCACGGAGTCCATGTTTCTACAGAAGCCCAGAATGGACAAACCAAACACTGACTCTACAGAGAGACTTTAATGTTTCTACGTTACCTGCAGGCCACCGTAGTTCAGTTGGAACCGCTTCACACTGCTCCTTTAAAGCTCTGAAACCTCATCTGGAATGTATTTATTTATTTATTAGTGACACATCATGGTGTAAATGCTATTTAATAAAACGTTTCTGCCTTGACAAGAATACAAATGTGGGAGTAAAAAATAGTTTATACGTTAAATATTTAAAAAGGCAAAACATCTCAAAATGTCCGCATCAACATCAGCCTTCATAAAGCCCAATATCTGACATCTTTCAGCCCACTTTTGCTCATCCTCTGTGTTTATCTACAGGCCATTGTCACTGCGTATAAGACTGGATTTTGGTCGTTTGTCCGCCGGAGCCTCCTGCTGCAGTGTGTGTTTGAGAGAGAGAGAGATGTTATCTGACCCGGTCTTTCTCCTGTCTCCAGACTGGCCAGTGCAGCAGGCTCTGGTCCCAGCCTGAGTAGCCGACCCAGGAACATGTCCTCTCCTGCGCTGCACTATTATTACAACAACCACAGGAAGAAGCTCCCTGTCTCAGGGTTACTTTTTTATATTTTACTTAATTTTAGTGTTTCCTACGGTAGAATCCCTTTAGTTGCCCCCCTGTGGTGAGGAGCATTAGCGGCTTTGCTGTACCTCCAAAAAAGTGTCTGTCTGTTTGAACCGTGAAATGTCCCCAACAGAGCGCTTGTATTAACTCTCCTCTGGCAACAGGTGGTTGGAGTTTGCATTTGTGACAAAAAGCATGCTGAAGTGTTTAAAGTGTATTCTAACTCCTTTACCTGTAACTCCAGCCATTTGGTGAGGTTTTAACTAACCAGGTCTGACAAACAGACGATGTAAATGTGTACTAACGTTTATACACAAACAAGCCCCAAAACATCCCTGTGGCTATGTTAGATCCCATCCAAAACGAGTGTGTGTGTGCGTGTGTGTGTGTGTGTGTGTGTGTGTGTGAGTGTTGCTAACGTGTGTGCAGTTGTTGCTCAGTGTTTTCCTAATTAATTCATGTGTTTTTGTTGTAGATAAAACAAAAATCATTTGTGGTGTTTCCTGGGTGCCGGCGTCCCATAGATCAATGCATGTTAGAGATACTGTATAAACTTTATTAACTTTAAAACTAATTCAACATTATTACAGTGTCAAAAGAACAAAGAACAATACTACAGATTAACTGGTAATTTAAGCAGCGCACATAAGGAAATAATGATTTATTTGTACTGGAATAGAAAGTGAAATAAACAATAAATGGGGATGGACTTAAACACACCTCAACTTTCTGCAAAAGCCGTGTAACTGATGTGACTGATTTTATTTGAACTAAAAAAAAGCAGTTTAGCTTAAGATACCAAGTTTGAACCCAACAGCAACAGAGCGATGTTTGCTTTGAACATTCTGTATTTGTGAACTTGATTTTGACGCTTTACTCTTTTTCCTTTGTGACGTGTGAAAATTGGATTTTTGTTTTTGTTGCATGTTGGTTTTCTTTTGTGAAACCATGCAAATGACATACACACATGGAATCCACTCTGAAGATGCTGTGTTTCGTTGACACTTTTGGAGATGGAGGGTATTTTAAAGGAGGACACTGATACAGCCTGTGTGTGTTTTACTAGCTCTAATCTTAACATCCTGCTGTTGCTTTAGGTTGTGTTTCCTCACTTGGGATAACCTGAGATGAAGCTTGGGCGCCTACTTTTATTACAAGATCATTATTTTTAAATATATTAACACCAGTGTGTGTGTGTGTGTGTGTGTCAGGGTGGATCAGATTCTGGGAAAAGGCCAGATTCCTGTGGATAAGAAGATGAGGGACAAACTGCACCCAGACGGAGATTCTCTGGAGGGCATGAGCATGCTGGGCCGTGTGTGTAAGGTGGAGAGACAGGTGAGTTTAGAAGAAAACAAAGAAACATCAGCACTTTCCTTTATGTGGATTTGATCGTCCTATAATGTGGATGATATACGTATCTGCGTGGATCTGATTTGGAGCTTTTGACTCATGGATTACCTTTTCCAGGTACTGAGATTCCCAAATTCACTTTCTGGTCTGACATCTGTTTTGGAAACCAACGTATCTTCATTGTTCGTTTGATATCCTGCGAAAAGTTGCTCCTCATATTTCGTGCGTTTTCCTACGAAAGTCCAGCAACACGTGTCAATTTCTGCTTGTTACATGGAAAGAGTTTTCAAAATAAACTTCTGTCTTCACAGGAAACAACTTAGTTAGGTTGATGCAACATAACTACTTAGTTAGGTTGATGCAACATAACTACTTAGTTAGGTTGATGCAACATAACTACTTAGTTAGGTTTAGAAGAAGATCTGGTTTGGGTTAAAGTAACTACAGAAGTGCTGTTACTGAAGTACACAAGTTACATGACAAATAAATCAACATTGACTTCTAGTGTGGGCTTCTGCAGTCTTTACACTTCCTCGTTTATGATTACGTGGATAACATACAGAATTATTTCGTGGGATATCTACGAATTATGAATTTTCGTAGGTACAGCTGTGAATGCTGGATGAGACCAACCTGTGGAAACACCACGGATCTGTCAATGTTGTGGGAAAATTCAATAAAATTGCTTTGCAGCTCTTTAAGCTTCCCTCTCTTGCTCTGTCTCTGTCTCTGTCTGTCTGTCCCTCTCTAACTCTTTTCCCAGGTGACTTCCATTGAATCAAAGTTGGACTCTTTGCTGGACATTTACCGTCAAGTCCTGCAGAAAGGCCCCACGGGGCTCACCCTCTCCTCCCTGCCCCTGTTCGAGCTGGACAACGACCACCAGCACAGCCACTCTGACTATCAGACCTCCATCATCAGGGATGGAGGGGATCCAGTGGGGGGCGGCGGCGGAGACGGCAACGGGGGAATACGTCGTTCTCTCAACACCAACCACAGAGGCCTGCGTCTCATCCTGGCGCCCGCCGACGACGACTGCCCTCCCGACTCTGCACCTCCATCCTACCCCCCGTCCACGGCCTCGCTCTCCCCGTCACCCCTGCTGCCTCCCGATAGCCCCTACCCAACCTTGGTCACCCCCATTTGTACCTCCAAAAGAGCACACTTCCCCGACCTGCTGCCCCCGCCTCCCTCGACGGGTGGTTTCACCCTGCGGCTGCCCCCCATGGTGCACCCGTCCCACCTCCGATGCTCCGCTGAGCCCGTCCCAGATGATGTGAGAGTTGAGGGGAGCCTGGGCCCCTCTGTTGTTGTAGAATCCAGTCTGGATGCCCACCAGGAAGCGGACAGCGAGGCGGGCCCCGCCCAGAGAGGGGTGCTGCTGCGGGAGAAGACTGGTATGAAATCTGAGGGGGTCTGGAGGAGGCCCATGAGCCTGGAGGTTAACCCGCTGCTGCTGCTCTCGTCCAGCCCAGACGACAGCTCTTCAGACTGGGGAGGAGGTCTCGGGAAGTCCCTCTCCGTGCACAACCTCAGCCAGCCTTTGATCGGCCTCAACAGCAGCAGCGGCGGCGGCAACGGTAGCAAACGTGGCAACGCCCACAGTGACCTCAGCGACTGGGACGGGACAGAACTCTTCATTAGGAAGTGCAAGCTGGAGCCAGAGGGAGAACATTTCAACTTCCTGTCCCAGGGACCCGACAGCAGCCCCTCAGACCTCTTACAGACTGCGGGGGAGTCTGCTCCTCACCCCAAGGGAAACGCAGAGTTTCTCAGTCAGCCCCCACACATACAGCTGGCATAACCACACACACACACACACACACACATTCGCATACTGTATGTACACATCATCATTGGGGAAACCACTTTTACAGTATTTCTACTGGACACTACACAGATTATTTTGCGTGTGTCCAGTCAATGCCTCGTACATGGACATACAATGTTTTTATAATTTGTCCAACATGATTGTGACCACTTTTTTACAGGGTCCTAAAATTACCATAAATTATGGGGACGTATGAAAAATATGCATGAAAGTGGGCATTTTCACGTAAAACAGAATACGCAAAAATATACAAATACAAAAAAAAATTCCTTTAAGAGTAATTGCTTTGATGTTATTGGATTTTTGCACACAAAAAAAGTTTGTTTCATATCGATCATATTTTAATCATATATTAGTAAAAATAGATGGTGATCAAATGTATTAAATAAAGAACAAGGAAGGTTAACTGATTTCTGAGCCTAGAAGCAAATCAGATAATTTGATTCACCAAAAAAACAAACTGATGTTAACTTTCTTTTTAAAATAGTTTAGTCCAACTTATTAAGTCTGAACATAAACCCAAACCAAAGAAGCCAGTTTGGGCAGAAACAAGCATGAGTGTTCGTCGTATAAATTAAAGAACACCTTGACGAGTACTCGAGTGGATAAATACTGTATGATTGTCTCACAGCCGAAAAAAAGGTGCAAGTTACAAGAATGTAGTTAAACCTCAAACAAGCCACTGGAAACTAAAGTTCAACCACTAGTTTCTTAACATGCAGTGAAACCAGTAGCGCACACACACACACACACACACAAGTATATACACACACACACACTGCTCACTCTCTTTGTTCAATGTCTGTCTTTGGGGATGTAAAAATGTCATCTTTTTACTTTCATACATATCACTGCATGGACTGTTCCCCCAAAAACACACGAATGAGAGGAGAGTCCAGCGCCTGGTGTGATGGGAAAAGCTGTTAAAACCCTCAGCATGTAATCAGACTACACTCATCTGTCAGCAAGTTGTCAGTAAATTTTAATGCAGCAAAACTATTGTTGGGGAAAGCAAAGGCCTATCAGCGATCACTGGTCCCAGTTGGTTTGGACAGTATTCCATTAGGTGCATAAGGCCCAATCCCAGTCCCCTCACTCACGAGGGTTTACTTCTGTCCCTCTGTCAAAGGATCCAGTGTTTGAAGACTCTCTCAGACATTTTAAAGCCTTTATGAACAATTTCCATAAGTCAGCATTACCCACAATTCATAGCAATGTGACGTTAAACACATGGAAGCATGGAGACGTAAACAAAGAGGACGGCACACGTGTGTTCAGCCCGGAATATTACATTTACTCAGACACATTAAGGATTAAAGATGGAACATAAAAACACATGAAAGCAGAGATTATATTACACAGAATTATTCATCAAACAAAAACAAAATTACACAATGCCCTCTCATCTTGTGAGGGAAGAGCCTGGAAGACGTTCAAATCAAGGAGTAAAAAGCATCACATAAACACCCACAATTGTACATAATATGTTTAACGTGATATGTCCCGTTCGTATTCACACCATTTCAAACCCTCGCAGCCTCTCACACTCAAACCATTCTCTAAGGTGACGTCGGTGAAGTCCCTGAGGGTTCAGGATTCAAGGCCTTATGGGACACACTGGGGGCCTCAGTTGCTAATGGTCTGAATGGTGAATGAGTCAAGCATGAGATGCTGCATGGCTAAGCTGTTGCAACACACACCTGGACGTCCTTCTGCATGTTAAAGTAACTCCAGATCTTCAACAAAAGAGTACGAAACAAAGTCTGCCGTTAGGAACATTATCATATTTTGAACGAATTTGAAAGTAGTGGTGTGGAGAATTTACTTTAGTATTACATTTAAACCTTTGAAGGTATTTTTTTGGACAAACCCTGTCTGTTTTACTGGGTGCTGGTTTGCACCTTGTGCATGGATAATAAAGATTAGCGGCTGCTGGGCTGAACGTATTCCTCCAGCCGGTCCAGAGCCACGTAGACTGGTAGAGTGGTGTTACAGGGTGACGATAGCAGGTTAGTTTGGATTCACCTTGAGGAACCTCATGATTACAATATACTGCACATGCACTGTTGTTGGTTACAGTTTTGCATGTTGTTACTTGATCCATGTGTCCATTCTGCTGCTGACATTTCATATATTTACTTAGAAGAGGAGAGAGATGAGAAAATACATGTGCCCTGTGATCTAAATACTAAATCATATTTTGTGATCTGCGTCTCACATTAGCTTCTTTAAAGTCTTCTGCTGCCCCTCTCAAATAAACATTGAGGCTTTAATATACCAGGATTTGTGAATGTGCATGCTCTCCCTCCTTACCTTATAATTACCCTATTTAACCATTTAGGTTATTAGCTTAAAAATGGCACACATTTTATATTTTGGTGCATTTAGTCCATATTCAGATTGTGAACTTTTCACTGGCAGGTTTGTGGAAAATTGTGTGTTTCTTAAATGACACTGTCCTAACCACACTACACGTTGTTTTCAATACCATCCTGCTTGTGGGAATTATGCACAAAACTTTGTCAGCCATCTTCATATTTAAATTTTTTGCTTCGTTGTTTTTGCATGTTTACGTCTTAAGGGGTCACAGCAGTCTTAAAAATGTATTTTAATACGTCAATGACGACCTTTATTCGTTAATTTGCAGTTGTATTCCCTTTTGGATGTTAAGTGCATTGCTTATCAAATTAATATTCTGTAGTAGAATATAACAAGTATTATCTCCTAACAAATGACAATGTCGTTAACACTTGTAGATAGATTTTTTATTTAAATATTCTACAGCCCATGCAGAAGTTGTGCTGTTATGATGAAAGCACAGTTGTTTTTTGGTGAGTTTGAGGAGCCTGAAAATGTGACATGGTATAGATTTAATGCTTAATATTAAAGTAGACTTTTTCGTAGTTATTGATTGAGCTTTGCTGAAAAAAAAAAAAAGCCAACCAAATCTTTTCTGTTATTCTGAAGCAAGATATCGAACACAAGGAAACGCCCTGTGGACTTGCGGAACCTCATAAAACTCATATTTTGCAATCTGTAAATTGCTTAAGGGTGCCTTTCTTGCATATGAAACGTTTATTTTGTTTTTCTTCACATGGCTATAACTGTCCTGTTTGCCTAAAGCGTACAACATACTGCATAGTTGAAGTCGATCTGCTCATTTTTGGGCATCCAGTTTACTTAAGTCATGTAGCTTTGGTCCAGGACTTTATATGATGGCTATTAATACATTTTCTCTACTGCTTGAATGGTAATTTATTACACAACTGGGCCTTAAAAGCTTGACAATGTTAATTAACATTATTATTTTACTTTGAAATTAATTTATTAAAGTGCACATTATGTTCTCTGGATGAGAAATGCAAAAATAATTTTATTATTCTTTAATAAAGTACAAATTAACTAAACTGTTTTTGTTGT